AACATGCATGTAATATTTTCTGATCGAAAAGAAATGCACAATTGCCGGTATGACTATAATTAGCGGAACTGCAGACCACAGATTTCCTATTTTTGTGTCGATCTTCATTATTGTTGTCTGAAATATGCCAAAATATCCACACATTTTCCCGTCATTAGATCAAGCTATTTTCTGAAATTTGATGCTCAGATTGCTGCAAATGGCGTTTTTGGGGTATATATTTCAAACATTTTCCGGGGGGCATGCCCCCGGACCCCCCTAGGATGTCTCACGCCTTCGGCGCTCGTTTGCATGACCACTCACACGACGCTGGCTTCGCCACTGGCAGTGTGTGTTATCTATTTCAAAATGCGTAGTAGACAGAGATAAATTTTTAAATCCTATATATGATAAGTAATTAGATAAAAACCAATAAAAACAAACAAAATACAAAATAATCAAACACAAGGTTATATAGATCATATAGTGGCACGAGATTATAGGCCTACCATTCCTATTGCTCAGCTTATTTTTTTACGTTGAATTTGAAACATGTAAACGGTAAATACCGTGCTCTTAATACGTTTTTTCTTTTTGCAGACAAATGAGCAACGTTTATTGCAAGGCATATCTTTCCAACTGACACTTTTGCTTTCATGAATCGTAGCACATCTCTCGTTCGGACCAGTGTATCTCTCGAGTCTTCCATACAACCCTCGTCTATGACTGGCATTAAATTGTCTGCCATCAAGCCAGTACCAGCCTTGCAACGGATCTTGTGGAGGGTAGACCTTAATTTCAGCATTGTTTATCCAGTATCGTCTCCCATCAGTCGCTGTCTTGTTAATAACTTGAACATCAGTTAAATTTGCAAGACGGCTGTCATGTTGCAAGCAAAACGAATGAGCAGCCTTCCACGTCATTTGGAGATTATCAAATGCACGCCAACACAATCCATTGTGTGTATGATTCCAGTTATTGGGACATACAGGTGAGAGATCTGAAATTTTATCAGGCACATTAGCTATAGCGGACAATTTAACTGTGCATGAAACTTATGGCAATAAAAGTTTAGTTTGTCTCGCTTGAAAGACCTTTCATAATTATGTTGAAACCTTTTTCAAATGTTGGCCGGTTCTCGAAATATCAGCTATCCGCCATCTTGAATTAAAGCCACTGGGATAAGCACGCTATACCACAAGTAGAGTAAAGCAAATATTTTACTCAGATATGCAATAGATACTGTGCAATGATCATTATTAGCCGGAAATTATACTACGGTTACTATTGTCTCACAAAATTTTTAAAAAAATTATCCTGCAAGATGGCGAGCTGCTCATTGCTTTCACGCAAAATATTTCAAAAACTAGCTAAGCAAAATATATGAAGGTAAAGGAGTTTTCAACTCGTTCCACGAAATAAGTACATGCTGATAATTTGCAAGTAACTTTTTTAATATTTGAAAATGAAAAATGGTACTCTGTCAAAATGTCATTATCCGAGAACGATAATACATTTAGATGTGAAAAAGCTAAATATTTCACGAAGGAAGCACACAGATAAATGTAAAAAATTATACTCATAAAGTCAAGGTGAAATTTACATTTTATTGCAGCAAGGGTAATATATGCTGCAGTATATACAGCATGAGCGTCCGTGTTGTACAAAGTATAAAAACACGAGCCGAAGGCGAGAGTACCGTGATAGTCATGCTTTGAAACTAACCGAAAAAATCGGAAACAATTTACATAAATCAGGGGGATATTGTATGTGGATACAACACCTCACCTAGTAAATATTAATTTCTTTTGAATTTTATACATGATTTTGCGAAAAGATTGACTTCTTATTAGCTTTACCTCTTCGCTCACAAATATATTTAAATGGAACCGAACAATTGTGATGATTCCAATGCCCCAATGATGCATTGATGTAAACACAACTCTTTGCACCCCGGACATTTGGCTCTCCATTACTCCAGTTTTTGTAATATGCAGAACTATTATCAGATATCCATTGCCATTTTCCATACTCTTGTGTATCACGAAGACCAATCCAAAACTGATCCTAAACACAACAATATACAACATCTGACAGAAGTCAGAAACCCGATGTTTTTACAAAAAAACAATTATATTTATCGCAAAGCAAATCGACAAAGCGCTGAGGACAAGAACTTTATGGGATAATTTTAAGTGTAGTCAGAAAAGAGGTTTTAGTGATATACTGCGGATTTCTATTTGCCATGTCAGATCTTCTGTTTCCGGTCACTGTTTTTGCGTTGCAAAAACAATTTGCATGCTTCATTTTCATTAAGTGCGAAAAGGCGCAGGCGAATTTTGAAATAAACACGTAACGATAATGAATCCTTTGTGTAGAATTTAGATCGACTTAATATTTAAATACTGAGATTTACAGATGAAAATTGTTTAGTATATACCACAAGCTTTCTTATTAATGTGCTATATTCTACCCGTTTTCACAATAATGCGATCATTAAATATATTTTCAGTTTTCTGTCTATAGCAGATACAAAAATTGAACAAAATTGAAAAACAAAATCATCAATGCTACGCATTGACGATTTTAAACCATCCCCACTATACGTACATCGGTCCTTACCAAATGAGAAAATTCACTGCGTCCAAGAAGATCATTTACATTTTTCTGCTCTTGCAAATTATCAATTTTTAACAAGGTAGCATCCAAATCAAGACATGCCACCAAAGCGTTGTGCCACGATTTACTAGGTGTTTTTTCTATTTTATAGCAAGAATTATGCTTCATTTTCCAGTCCTCATCGCAAGTAGCTGCAATGAAAATTTATAAAATAGCACTATACCTGTCACGTTTTACTATCCTTTCCCTAATCCAAACCATAATCCTAACCCTAAAAGTCTAAAAATAGTAACAGTTCCTAAATCGTGACTCATATGTTTGTTTGTTTGACAACTTTATTTGGTTAAATACTAAAAGTACAAATACAAAATCATGAAACATTAACCAATCGGGAAGACGCGAACGGGACAAAAGTGCCCATGCGCCGCACCTTCCCGTTAAGAGAAACTATATGTATGTATATATATATATATATACATA